ATTCAAAACTACAAGCAAACCAGTTTGGTGAGCAAATTATATTGAAAAGAACCTGTTTTCCAGTCAATTGTTCTGCACTGTGGAACTCAAAAGCGTAAGAAAAAGGCCTACCTCCTACGGTCTCGTCAGTTCCAAAGTAAGCTCGGTACAGCAGCACCAGTTCCAGCCAGTACACGTGGTAAATCACTATTAATATAACCATGAGGAAGAGGGTAACACCAAGGCCGCAGCCAAGCTCTATGGACGGAATGTAAGCTGAATGTGGAAAAAAAGCAGTAATGAGATTGGTCAGTAAAGATCAGTCATATTCAGGCCAAAACCCAAATACAAAAAAGCCTTGTTCTCCAAACACAGCATGAGAGAGAATCCCGACTTTCAAACATGCTAAAGTAAGCTTTAACTTTCTTTTTCTTAACTCAGTTAACTTAGAACCACTTGCCTTGTGCAGCAACTCTGGCCTTGCTGTTCACCTCTCCCAATTTATTTTTTGCAAAGCATGTATAGTCTTTTTTCAGGTCCTCGGAGGTGAACTTGTCAATCTGCAGGATTCGTCTTATACTCTTGTGCCCCAGCTGTTCATGAACTTCACTGGAGGAAAAGGAAACTGCAGTTTAAAAGGGCATTGCTGCTCAGAGGTTTATTTTTTTTGTTTTGATGGGGAGGGTCCTGAAACTGAGGAAAATGTCGTGGGTAACCGAAAATCTTGACAAAGTGTCTTCAAACGCGGTGTCGTGCAGGCATCCTTTGAAAATGCTGCAACCCACATATCAATCAAGAGAGACACAACACAAACAAGTAAAGCACTGATCTTACACTGGTTACACAGGCAGGCCGAAGGAACTGAACAGTTTCAAGAGAGAAGACTACAGGCAAACCTGACAAGTATTCAATATCATGAAAGGCACTAACAAAGTCAGCCTGACGCAATTCATCTGAATAAACAGTGAAACATAAACTGAAGGATTCCATGGAAGTGTATTTAAAACAATAAAAAGGAGGCACTTTTAAGCAAAGGGATGTGAAAGAGAAGAAAAAGCAATCATTATTAATATTTGTACTGTATGTATATGTATTTTTAAATACAGGGCCTTCGGTGCCTAAAATAAGGAAATACGCAGACCTGGAGTTGATCTTCATCCTTTTGTCGGAATTTGGATCCACTCTTTTGCCATTCACAGACCACCACACTTCAGTGGCCGAGTCTTTCAGATAGTGAAAATATGCCTCACAGAGCAATTCAGCCGTCTCTCCTAGGAACAAAATATTAGGAAACAAAGGATGACAGCAATGAATATGGAATTATAATTATTATTTATGTTTTAGAAGAAGGTTAGATATCTATTGTACTATACATTCAAGTATTTCTTTGTTTTCAAAAAGCAGGATGGTAACAACTTTGTTACAAGTCCTTTCATTCTTCTCTAGGTGTTACTAAGATGAGGAAAACCTCCTAAATTGCTACAGACATTAAGTGTAAGTAACAGGGGAAAGCTGCAATCATTCATCATGGTGGACAGTAACTGCCTATAATCCACTTAAATCAATGATACAGCAAATGCAGATCATCTGAGGGTTAATTGGGTTAATTTGTGCTGCCATTCTCTAAAAAGCATAGGAGTTGGTTTTCAAGGATCAGTACTGTAAGTGCAGCCCACAGCTATAAAGGCAGAAAAGTCTAAGTTCAGACATCAAATGACTGTCTTAATCACTGAGAGCCACTTCTGTTCCTGGAGGCCTGCCATGTCTCCTGGTCACTTAATGGCTTCATTTGAATCAAATGTTTATTTAATTTGTTTATATTACTACGGTTTCAAGTTTTTTACTCCTTGTGGACTGCAGCCCTCCAGCACCAGGAGAGTGTCTGCCCTGTTCTGCTCTTGGTCAAGACTGGGTCTGTATGCCCTCAACATTGTGTGGTAGCAGGAAGAAGCTCACGAGAAAGATGAAGGAGGGCTTACTGATTACTACTAATGGAATCATGCATTCACTTTGTAACTACAGTGTAAAGTTCACTCTAAGTTTCCTACCATTACATCTTGCATTCAGAACCTTGCAATCAAATAATAGTTGGCTTATTGCCTCCATGTCCACATTTTCTTCTAATAATCCCTTGCATTTATATGGAGCACTTCAAATATAGGAGGTTGCTCATGTGCTCTATCACTGATCTGCAGCCCCCCCACCAAGTGATGCATGGCAGCCCCACTGCACAGCTGATCAGGGAAGGGAATGGGAGATTTCTTCAGTCGAATTAAGTGAGAACTTCAATGAGACCAAACTAGGGAACTGAGCCAGTAAATGAGGATGAAAACCCTTAAGGACAGTACCTTGGGTTCTTTAATGACCAATTCAGAACCTCATTTTAACCTTATCTTATTCGAAGGCTGGCATCTTCTACAGCTCAGTGCCCCTGGCTGCCATACTGGGGTATCAATCAGGGTATTATGGTCCAGATGGAAGAGTGTCACCTACTGGACCACCAACACAGTTACAGCAGTAACTCTGTAGTATTTAGAAGTCTCCCATCCCACTACAGACCAGGCCCATTCCTGCTGAAATGCAGAAGAGCTGGTAACACTATGGTTGCCAGTAAAGAGGAAAAGCAAAATTAACAGATTTTATTTTTAAATTACCAAGTGTCACAGTGAAAGTAAGTTCTTTATTTGGAATGTGGATCACTGGTTTGTACTGTAAACGAGACGAACCTGAAAAACAGAGAGGTGACTTCATTATAACAAATTTATTTTAAATGAGCACAAAGATTGTATTGCCTATATTAACACATACAAGTCTGCATTATTTTACAGCTCTCTTTGAGGCCTTCATGAATAGAACACAATAAGAATAACTGCAAAAGGCTGAAACATACATGAAAAGTAAGAAAACCTGGCCGAGTATGGTTAAAAGCAATTTTTAGTTTATCTTTGGTTTTACCATTTGCTTTCAACACAATAACTGTTAAGCTTACCAACAGCTTTGACATTTATGGTCCGAGTGAGCGTCACTGGTCTGCCATTTTTCAAATAGTTCACCACACAGGTGTAGTTCCCTTTACGAATTTCCCTCATGATGTAAAAAATGAATTTATTGTTCTTCACAGCGCGGTCAGAGTTACCATACCTCCCATTAATCCAGGGGTGACAATTCTATGTGACAGAAAGCAAGATGTAGATGTCAAAACAAATTGTGCATCAATTAAGACACATGCATGAACTGCCACCAATGTTTAGATATCTTAGATAGCGTACACAGCAGGGCTGTGCATCTGAACCACTGTCGCAGCCCAAGGCACTGGGACACAGCCCAGACAAGCACCAAAATCGCTACACTGGAAGACTGGTCACATGCTGTGAGGAGTGTTAGTGCCCTTGAGAGTCCCAGGGCATGATATCTCTCTCTTCAACTAGAAGAGATCTCAACCCCTAAACTCTACTGTACCTCCAGCAAATGACAGGCACCATTCTCACCCATTCAGGTCTCAGTACCACTGTAGCAAGATCAGACCCCTGTTGAAAACACTATCTCAGACTTGCCTCTGAATGCACAATCAAAGCCCAGCAAAGGCAAGCATGAAACCCCAACATAACTGATTTCTTGATTTTTCCTCGAGACAGAACAGCTGCATCAGGTTTACTTCTGATTCAAAGTCTTTTAGACTCTTACACAATTCATTTAGAGATTTTAGAACATTTTCTTTTGTATTAGAATTTTAATTCTAAGATTTTACAGCTGAGAATAAACATCGATGAGTTACAGTCAAGTAAAAACACCTGCAAAATAGATCAGCACATAGTACCATTATTAATGGCATTACAAATGATCACATTTTTTTGCTGAGGAAATGAGTGCTTTCTTCTCAAGCATAGTCCTAAAAACAAGATCTGAATGGCAGGAGGCTGATTCACCTCTTAGTGTACTGCTTTCATTGGTTCTTACCTACCTCATGCCAGGTGACATCATATTTAGCTGCTGGTGGTATAAATTCTTCAATATCGGGACAGGTGAGCTCCTGCTTTTCTTCTATGGGGATCAAAGCAGTGACTGTCTCCATCTGATCATTAACACAGGAGCCATTGTTTTTCTGGAGAACTGTCAGGCCTACCGAGGCCTTCACGCAGTAGCTTAAATTTCTGAAAATGTTAAGAAAAAACTGAATCTTTATGAGATGACAGACCTGTAACCACATTAATTATCAAACAGTAAACTACAAAACTCAATACATCATGCGGGATGAGACATCGCCTGAACATAATGGTTTAAATCCATATTTGCTGAGTGCTCATCACAAACTGTAAAATCCCAATGCGTTTATACTAATGAGTCCATACCTCAGCAGACAGACATACTCTCCGGTGTCATTTAATAGGGCAGGCTGGAACCACAACTTCTCCTTCCGTTCAACAATTCTGTGGTCTGGGAGACTGAAATCCACAGGCTGCTCAGAGCCCTGATCTGGCTTTGCCTTCCAGAACCACTTCAGACTCAGATCCTTGGACTGGGCAAAGCTGGAGTTACATGTTCCAGAAAACAAGGGGCATTTCAGTCTTCCTGGCTCACCATCATAAATCTTCACACCTTTCGCTGACTCTCTATCACAGATGTCCTGGTCATGGCAGTGTTCTTGAGGAGAACAAGAATATCAAGATGAGAACAATGACAAGAACGAGGAATAGCACATTCCTTAAAAGTAAGAATGTAGGGATTGCAAATCACAGACTGTATTTTTAAACAAATTACAGACTACCACCAGTGATTCAGAGCTACGCTGGATTAAAAAAGGAATCATGCATGGAATAGCAAATGTCTTGGTACAGTGATAACAAAGGAAGAAGAACATTCAAATAACAATCAATAATAGATAAAACATTCCTAAAACGGTGTAATATTCATCAGTTACCTATGGCTTTGAGCTCTACATCACAGTTCCCTTCACTTGCGGGGCTTTTGTCCAAGTCAACATCAAGTCACAATAATAGACAAACACAATCTGCTTAAACTAATAACACACAAACAGTTCACATGGTCAATCACATGGTGCTGGAGTTAGGGGGTGGAAAGCTCCTGCCACCTGGACACCGCCCCTGTTGGATGACTTTAATTTGAGGGCTTCTTGGAGAGGAACTTGTACCACCACTGAGTGCAGGAGGGGATTTTATTGGTTGGGATTGAATGTATATGTTTGGCAAAATTCAAACGAATAAGAAATCGCTGACAAAAATAAAGCAGACTTTCTGTAACATCTGAAGTACTCGGCTCAGGCTTGTTGGGACACCAGACTGTAGCACAGCCAACTCTTGGTTGAAGTCCTGGTTAGACAATCACCTGCTCAGGACTTACTGCCACTCCATGTGCCTTGTGCACCAATACTGCACAGACTGCAAGTGTTCCAATAAATAAACCACATCTATCACTTGTCATGTGCAATTTGGAGAACGTATGACATCATGATAGATCCCTTTCCTTTGCAGAGCATACAAGGCATGAATCACAAACATTAACTGGAGGATATGTTTACAAACATGCCAAGTTTGTAATGCAAAGATAATTTTTAGGGAATTATACAAATAAACACAATAAAATGGTAGTTACAAGAAATAAAGTGGAAGGCTGTGAACAGGTACTGTGTTCTTTCATTCTTGGGAGTTCCTCCACAAAGACATTAAGAATTTGTGCTTTTACCCTGGGGCATTGCAGCAGTTTACTGAATTCAGACAGCACGCACCACTGCTCGGACAAGAAAAGTCCCAAGGCTGTTAGGCTCCAGAACCCCAAGGGTACTGACTCAGTGAAATGAGTCCTTCTAACAAACAGTCCGATGCAGTCACTCGTGCCACACTAAGCAGCTTAGTGTCAGATCCCCTATGTCATGATTTACGATCAGCTCCCCAGCATGTTTAAACTGCTAGCGGAGAAGGCCAGTTGTTGTAGTCATCACTATTAATTACCAAAGAGAGAACAAAAAAAAAATCTCTGAAGTGGCTTCCATATGATTCTATCATCTTAAACTGGATAAAAGTGATGCTTTTGCTCAGCATCTAGAAAACAACCACACAGGCCCTTAAACAAAATCAGTATGGATTTGTTTTCCTTTTATCACCTTCCTTGAGCAGATGAGAGCAGACATCAATGCCACAAAGGTCACAACAAAATCCAAAAGCAGAAATCTTCTTTTCCAGCAGACACCGTTATTGAGACCAATGCGAGCACAAAAACTTTGGCACACAAGTGGTGGTCAATTAAATATGGCGAGATTGGTTGAATAGCCGAAATAAGGAAGACTAGTCAAATTAAATTTTAGGATTACAGTCATCATGCTTAATTTTGTTTTCTTAATTTTAAGATTACATTTTATTTTACAGCCTCATTCGTTGGTTCTCGTGTTGAGAGACAACAGCAACAGATGCAAATGCCACATCTAGAATGAACTGGAGGCCTTTTGTTAGCTCTCTTGTGCATGAACTAACTATGCAAGAACACACAGCTGGCCAAGACACAGCTAAGCAGGCAATTGTCCAATTACTTTTGGTCCCCTAAAATGGAAGGACTATGTACATAAAGGGCTGTGATTCCTATATCGTTCACCCAATATAGACGCAACTACCCTTGAATTAAAGCTGACATTCTGCACTTCAACGTCATAGTCATTGTTTCATTTCAAATCCAATGTGCTGAAGTACAGGACCAAAACAACAAAAATTGTGTCACTGTCCAAATACTTACTGACTGACTGCACTGTATGTGAGACAGGTAAAAAGTTAAACAGCGTTGCTGACATTCATTGTAAACAAATACTTTTCAAGCAAAATAATCAAATGGGTACAATGCCCTTAGAAACGATGTAATTCTACAATGATTGCAGCTATGCAATAGTGGCACAGAGAATCTGAGGAGTGATTCAGCAGTGCATCTGTGCCCTGAGCTCTACTGTTTTAGACAGCCGGCACTGACAACGTAATGTAAGTTCTTTATTTGTCATCTAAAGATATTTATCATCTGCTTTAAGAGTTTGAATCATTAACATATACATATTATCTCAACTGGTGCTATTTATTTCAGTAATGTCTGTTATTTCAGTAGTCTCCTTAAAAACCCATTAAATCAGAGAATCACATACAAATACATGTATTTCTTTTTGGAAACTAACACTTGCTGTTAAATTAATGGGACTTTTCTATGACTTATAAATAGCAGACTTCACAAATCCATCCATTTTCTCACTGCTTTCTCCAAAACAGGGGGAGCCAGAGTGTCTCCCAGTAAGTAACGGCAAAAGACTGAGAATACTCTCTAAATTGGATGACAGTCCATTGCAGGGCACAAACAGACACACTCACACCAAGACCAATTTCCCCAGAAACCAATTAACCGACCAGGATGCCTTTGAAGTGTGTGAGGAAACCAGAGCACCCAGAGGAAACTCACACAGACACGTGGAGAACATACAAATTCCATAGGGAAAGCACCCCAGGAAATGAACCCAGGGATCCAGTGCTGCGAGACCACAATCCTAACCACTACCCCACCATATCCCCCATCAGAATTTATCTATGCATAGCAATTTTATCACACCCTGTGGCAGGCCGGTTTCTGAAGGGACTGCAATAACAGGCATGCTGCCACTAGAGGGCACCAGAAGGCCTCTGACTGGTAAACAGGCTCACAGGGGGTCTCTTAGTGAAAATCACAATAAAGAAGGGCATAAAAGATTCAAGATTCAAGATTCAAGATTCTGATTTGCCATATACAACAAGTGTACTGGAATGCTTACTTGTTTCAGCCGTACCCAGTAACAGTAAAGAAAAAATGGGCACAAATGAAAAACAAATACAGACAATAAGTTTAGACAATAGACGTTATAATACAGCCAAGACAGGACATAGTGCAAACAGTGCAGTACCTTGAAGTGCAGGTGCTAATTTGAGCTGGTTAAGATGTGGACTGCTTGGGGCAAGAAACTGTTTTTGAATCTACTGGTCAGTGTTCTGATACTGCGATACCTCCTACCAGAACCCAGGGGTGAAAACAGATCGTGGCAAGGGTGAATTGAGTCCAGAAGTACTGTATAGCTCGAGCCCAGTTGTGGCAGAGGTCAAGATATATCCGGTCGATGGAGGGTAGCACGGTCCCAAATGATTTTCTGCGTGGACCTCACAACCCTCTGTATGACTTTTCTTTTCTTAAAAGCCACAATCTTACATGTAATTAATAATGTTCAGGCATATAAAAACTTTAAGAGTGTTAATCTGGGTTTAGAGGAGCAGTCTGGGGGAGATTGCTGGGACTTTAGATGAAGAGAAGGGTGCTTCTCTTGAGTACTTGGTGTATAAGGACTATTAATCCTGCACGTTTCTTCTTTCCAGTAGGCAGGGTCAGTATAGGAGCTAGTGTGGCAAAGATTAAAGATTAATTAAATCATGTCTTTCAGTGCTGCACTGTTAATTGTACATTCATAGTAAGTCACTGGGGTTTTTATTTTGGGTCTTCTTTGAAATCAAACACAATGAAGATTAGATCAAGATCAATAACTTTAGTATGAACTGCATCATGTGGTTCAAGCCCTTTTAAAACGTGGGTCATGCTTATAAAATATCTACAGAAAAAAACTTGGCAAAAGGGAAATTGATGGCTGCAATCAAATATCCAGACCATGGGAAAACAATCAACATTTGATTTTAATGTTTTCATTCTAAATGTTTACCTGATAATCGCATTTAATTCCCATTCAAAATGCAATTAAATTCTACAGTGCAGCTAATCTGAAACCACCCTTGCATTTGTACCTTTAAAGCCATTATGAAGTGAAATGTGGCACATAACTTCCACCAGTAGCAAAAATAATGCAATAAATGGTTAAGAATCATTTTTGGATTTGCAATATATAGATAAGCTAATCCCTTTGTGACTTGTCTTTTCATTCCATGCAGTGATATGGGGTATTTCGGAAAAATAGTTTTGCATATTGGGGAGACTGTCTGAGCAGAAGGGCTATGCAGAGTTTAGCTTGTCTCCAATAAATTAACCCAAAACATAAAATTATGTAGCGTGCCTTGTACTTATTCAATACCTTATATAAATAAAATATAGTACATTTCTTTTTCAAAACCTATTCAAAGTAATTGATATTTTGAACACACACGAACTGGAAAATGACAGAGAAAGCAGTGGTTATGTTTAAAAAATGCTATAAAAATTAACTGACCTAATGTCAAAAGCCTCTGGCAAAAGATGAACTTCCTGTCACAGCAGAAATTAACATAGCAAACGCCTTCATTTGATTAACATTCTCCAAAAAGTTATCTTCCCTTTCAACCACCTTAAAAAGGTGCATTACCCTGGGAGTGTCCCTGTGAAATATTGATTGTGAGTTATTGGGCTTCGATAACATGCAAGTATTATAGAGGAACATTAAAGCACATCTGAAGTACACTTATTGTTCTCATGCTTTATAATTGAATTTTTGAGCTGGTCCGTTTTGCAGGGGTGGCAAGTTCTGGTAATTGCGCTGTCTAAAACCTAGGGACTATAAATTAGTCTTCCTGTTTCAATTTTTATAGAATTCGTGAAGTTCTGCATAGTACAAATGGATGCTGGCAAAAGTAATCCATTTTCTATCATGACAT